CCCCGCCCCGCCCGGCCCCGCCCGGCCACGCCCTGCAGGCACACTACCATAAGGCCACGGCCAGCTGCTCCGCCCGGGGGGACGAGCTGAATCAAGGCGTCAAGGCCCGCTTCCAGACTTGATCACCCGCGCTGATCACTTTTGTGTAATCAATAATCGAATCGCGTCACACAACAGCCGCGCCGAGCCCCGCGAGCCCTTACCTTGCGTAAACGGCTATGGCCCCCGAGGGGGGGAACGGGGGGTAGAGGCGGCGGGGGAGGCGTCTGGTCAGACCGGCCGGCGGCCGTCTGGGCTGGGCTGGGCCTCTTGGAGGCTGAGTGAGTATAGCGCCTGCTCCAGGCGGGCCGCGAGCTTCCTACTTGGACAAGTCCCTTCAGTTCCTTCCTGCCTTCCTCCTCTGGCGGAGGCGTGCGGGCGGAGCCGGAGCCTGGCTGGATTGGGTCCGGGGGGAGGGAAGGGAGGTAGGGAGGGGTGTAAGGCGCGAGACTGAAGGTCGCTATGGTTCCACGCAATGTCGGAATTCGGCCGACCCATCGACGGTGGCGTCGGCGGCGTGGTCGGGCGTGGCATCCCTGTGATTTTCCTCATTTTTTTTTGTTCGCCCTTTACCCAGGGAGGCAGAGACAAGATGGGCGCCGTAATGCCCGACCGCAGACGAGAACTCCTCGAACTGCTGCGGCTGCGTCTGCCGCGGAGGCTGTTTCTTGGACCCAGTCAATGCGTCGATAAAACGATTAAAAATAAAGTTTATAAAAAGAGAGAAGTCGCAAAGGGGAGGAGAGAACACGACGAAACGCTTGCTTGCTGCTGCCGTGCGGAGGCTCCTAATGCGGTCGTACATCGGGCCAGCCCCGACCCGTCGGGCCGAACCGACTCGCGGTGCCATTCTGTGCCACTGCGCTCCCAACGGCTCCCGCTGCTCCCGCGCGATACGCCCTCCTGGGAGCCGACCGGCGCCGGCCAGCAGTATGCACAAAGTAGAGTGCAGCAGAGCACATCGCGGTTTTTCGAAGGAGGAGGCGCCCGAATCAGCCCGAATCACACACTGAAAACACCAGCTTCCGTGTCCGTCAGGTGGAACAAGACAACCAATATTCAAAGTGTCCAAATATGCAGTGCACGTGATGAGCGGACTACAGTGAAACTGTACCGCCATCCAGGGGTGCGGGCGGATTGCCTTCCCCGCGCGGGGTCGGAGGGCGTCGTGTAGTCAGTCCACTGCGACGGTCAGCAAAGCAAACCACCCATGTGGATGTGGGTGGGGGTGTCTGACTGTCGGCGTCGGCACGATGCTAAAGCGATATCGTATCGATGTCATTTCATTTCGACATCGCATTTCACACTAGACATCGGTCCAGTCCCGCATGCCTCCACGACGCGATACTCGTCCAACACTACAGCAAAAAGTAGTGAAGTAGTGCGTGAACCGCTCTCACCCCGTATCGGGGTCTGGAAGTTGCATCGTTGCGTCAACGGGCCCGAGTGATGTTCTGACATCACGGGAGATCACAGGGACCCGCCACTTGCTGATGATGCTCTTTGACAGTGCGCTAACCCAGCTCGCGTGTGTGCTTCCAGGTCCAGGAGGGGATGCTGCCGCAGCCGAGATGACCAAGGAGAAGGACGCGGCCCTGGGCGGGCTGATCGCAGGGTACCTGGACGTCAAGCTACCCGCGCGGTCCAGGCGGAGGAGGTTCGGCCATTGGAAGGTGAGCGCTCGACGACTCAGTGATTGCAGGCATGACTAACGTAAAGGGTTTGGAACAAGGTTTGACAACATTTGATCTGTCGCAGTCCTGGCGGCGGCACTGGGTGGAGGCCCGTCTCGTCCCGGATGACAACGTCGTGGAGCTGGTCGTAAGCCCGGCTCGGCCCGGACCCGAGGCCGGCGCCAGGGTGATCCGCGTACCAGGCGGCGCGGGGGTCTCGGTGTGCCGCACGACGTCGCGGTCCCGGAGCCACGCCTTCGTCATCGCCACTGCCGGGTCCGAGGCCAGCGCCGAGATGGGCGGCGACGTGTTCCTGGCGACGCGGTCCGAGGCCGACACGGAGCGCTGGATCGTCGTGCTGCAGGCCGCGCTCTCTGGTCGCAGGGCGGTGGTTGGCGTCGCGCCGACGTCCCGTGTCCTGAGTGCCAGTAGCGCGGCCAGCGCGGCCAGCGCCGCCCTGCTCAGGGGCCGGCGGCTGAGCCGCAGCGAGGGCGACCTGCTCGCCGCCAACCTGGGCTCCATCGACCTCATTCCCGCCGGCCTCGGCCCCGGGGAGGTCCGGCGCGAGGCCGCCAACGCCTGCAAGACGAGCACCTTGGGCCGCAGCCCCGCGCGCACGCCACAGAGGCAGCCCTTCAGGCTCCTGTACGGGCGGAGGCGCGCGGACACGCTCCGCGCCGAAGACATCCCGGACCCGAACCTGCTGTCCACTTCCCCGCAGTCCACCTCTGGCTCGGCGCTCTCGCTGCTCGGTGGAAAGGTACGTTATTGTAATTACAGGAGCCCTGCACCCGAGGCTGCCCGTCGCCCGTCGTGCTGTGTACAGTGCCATGGTGACCACCATGATCTCTGACGTGCCACCGTGTGTGCCCCTCCAGATCGCGAACGGGCTCATCTCTGCCGGCCTGGGCCTCATGCTGTCGACGCCGGGCGGCAGCGAGGTCGAGGACAACGACAACGACGTGGACAATGACGTAGAGGAGGACGTCGCGGACATGACCACCACCATGCTGCCCGGCGTGCTGGCCGCGCTCGCCCTGGACAGGCGGAGAGAGTCGGCCGTCTCGGTCGCGTCCGGCATCTACGAGGAGATCCTCGAGACGTCCGATGGCACGCCCACCGTCGTCATCGACCGCGTGTACGAGAACGCGGCGTTCGTCCAGGCGTCCAACGGCCACGACAGCCACTACGAGGACCCCGCGCTCCTCTTCTCCCCCAGGCTGGACGCCAATGGGAAAGCACTCCCGACGCCCAGCATCGCCTCACCCCCTCCTCTGCCGCCTCGGCAAAATCTGACTCCTCTCAGCGAGCTCCTGACCAGGTGAGTGGCTCGTCGCGAGCAATGCGACGCTCTTTACTCTGCCCTTATTTTGAAGGGAAGGACGAACCTGACAGCATTCCTCTCCGTAGGACCCACACCCGCGGCCGCGTGGACGCCGACCTTGCAGCTTCGACCGTGGACTGCAACGGCTACGTGCAGATGGGCCAGGTGCGGACGAGCGCTCGCAGACTGCATGCAGAGCTGCAGGCCGCAAGCATCGGCAGACGGTGTCTCAAAACTCCCTCGCCGACTCCCGACCCCGTGCCTCCCGGGGCCGGCGAGGACGAGCCCACTTACCTACCTATGTCCCCCATCAGGCCGTTGTTGCTCACAGACAGTCGCGACAAATGCAACTAAAGTTAATGTAATTATCAGAATAAATATAAGCTTCGTTACTTATGTGTCCCTACATTCTCTTACCCTCTAAACTTCTCACATTTAGAAATCGAGAAGTAAGTGATTGGATACTGAATGGGGTGAAAATTGAAAACCAAATGTAATATGTAAAAATACATATATTATTTACAATATATTACCGATTTCTTCCAAGCAACTCAAATAATCGACTTCTCTATGTACAAACATTCATACATATACAATGTTGAAGCGAGTCTGCTGCCAATATTAACACACAATTTTAGTTTAAGAGATCTTACACAAGATTTTGTTCCCTCAATGATTATGGAAAACACATTCATGTATACACAGACTGTAGACCTTATGAAATAAATGGTTACCAGCTAAAGAAACAAGGACATTATGGTTCCCGAGAAAAAGAAAAAAAAAACATTTTAGAACAAATTTGTTTTGATCAAAGTGGGTTGATTATTGTGTAGTGCAATTTTACTACAAGAGCATATTCAATGATTATTCAGGCGGTAACACATAAGAAAGTTCATCCTGAAACACATTGCATAGGATTGAACAATGAATACATATCTTTTACAGACTAAATAATGTTTTTCTCAGGCATGTGCAGATATTATCTAATGCAGCCATTTCCTTGCTCGGCCAGTCTTTGGTTAAATTCAATGCAAGGCGACAGGAAACAAAAACATCAAATGCCAAAGTGGTATGGCTTAATAAAACCTCAAAGAAAAAACAGAAATGTAACAGGGGCACTTTAGCAAAAGTAAGAGACTTCTATAAGAAAAAAAGAAAAAAGTGATCAAATTGCCTTTACAATGACAGTTGAATTGCACAAGCCTTCACTCCTCCTAAATTTAAAAATGCTTGGTAAACATGGTAACCAATTGCACTTCTAAGACTGAGACATTCAATCAATTTTGACCTCTCGTTTTAGAATATGTGCAATCCTAAATGAGCCTCAATATATTAACAAACTATCTTGTACCATATCAGCTATTCCTATTCTGTTAATCACACCAGACACCCTCAAAAGCTTTCACAAAATAAAATTGTGACAAGCTTTAATGAAACAAAAGGGGTCTCAGTGACTCACATTTTGCAATGAATTAACTTATCACTATCCCTGTTTTTTCTCATGCATTGCAAAAATAGGATGGCACAAAACTGTTCCATTCTGCTTACAAAAACATTCAGAAGGAGAGGGGCATAACTATTACAAGATTCATAGAGAAATTTTCATTTGTCACAAAATTTACATGACTAAATAATCTTTACACAAAACATACCAACATAATTAAAAAAAAAGTTGGGGTAATAAAAATACCTATTGCTATATACAACAACAAATACAGACACGGGTGAAATCAAACAATAACATTTATGATACCATATGAATCAACAAAGACCAGGTCAAAATTAAATTGTTTGCAACTTCTCAACAGCACCACAAGTGTTCACTAAAAATGCTGTTATTAAGGCTGTTAAAATTTTAACAATTAAAATTTATGCTCTAGGAAAAGAAGTCTTGTCAGAAACATAATCGAAAGAAGTTGTTGGGAGCCGTGAACCAAAACTTTTAGTAAATTAGCTGCTACACAAGCCTGCTAGTCAATGTCAATACCAAACAAAATTTCAAATGCATGACATTAAAAAGTAAGAATGAAAATAAAAATATACACACACGCACACAAGAAAAAGATAAATTTCACACTAGAAAACTGATATGGACAGCCTTGAATAACAGCACGCTCATGATTTCCCACTCCTCATTCAGGATTAGAAAGAAGCAGCCTGACTCTGGAGGAATATAACATTCCAATATTGAGAAGTGAAACAAGTAATACCTTGATCAAGCACACAAAAAATTCAACGTTCAATAAAGCATTACATTGAGAATAACATATGTATGTGAACTATACATTTATAAAGATTTATGTGCGGTGGATATCTTTTTTCTTT